GACGACTGCGCAGGACTTCGAGCAACACCGTGGCTACCTGACGTCGGTGGCCTACCGTCTCACCGGAAGTTTCAGCGACGCTCAGGATGCGGTGCAGGAGGCATGGATACGCTTGCCAAGTCGCACAATCGAGACAAGGAAGCGAGCTCGAGATCCGGGAGCTGCGCGGATGGCTCACCACTGTTGTCGGTCGGATCTGCCTCGATCATCTCAAATCGGCCGCAGTCAGAAGAGAAAGCTATGTCGGACAGTGGCTTCCAGAGCCGATCGTCACGCCCGTCGACGCCACCGCGGGCACACCCTCAGCGACACCCGATCCGCTGGAGTACGATCGTGACGCAGGAACAGAATCGTTTTGCAGCCCTCGTCGTCCTGGACACCCTTACTCCCGCTCAACGCGTTGCCTTCGTCCTGCATGACGGCTTCGACGTGCCCTTCGCCGAGGTTGCGCGCATCCTCGACATCGAAGTAGCCACTGCCCGTCAGTTGGCCTCGCGGGCCCGTAAAGCCGCAGCGTCGGCGCCGGTCCCGGTCAGTAGCGAGGAGCATGCTGCCGCCGTCGAGCGATTGGTGACGGCTATCGCGAGTGGAGATCTGAACGCCGTGATCGATGCACTCGATCCCGATGCCGTCCTGATCGGTGACGCAGGCGGAACTACCCGCACGGCTGTCAACATTGTGCGCGGCAGCGATCGTGTCGCGCGGTTCTATCTGGGATTGGCCCGCAAGTACGGACCGGCAGCGGTGTTCTCGATGTCACCGGTTCTCGTCAACGGACAGCTCGGCGGTGTATTCGCCGGCTCACCGGGGGACGACCAGTACCCGCAGTTCGCCGCTCGCGTTGCCGGCTTCACTGTCCGCGACGGAGTTGTGTGCGCAGCCTACGATATTGCGAATCCAGCCAAGTTCAGCGCTGTGCCGATGCTCGATCACACCGAACCCGAACGCAAGTAGCGAGACTCCCATTCCTCGAGGTGTGATCTGGACACCTGCGTGCCGAACCACAGTCGGTGCAGTACATCCGATCCCAGATGATGCAATTCGGTGTGCGTCCTCCACTGCTGCGACGCCCACTCGGGTTCGTTGTGGGCGGCGTCGATCCCGGCCATCGCGCTACCTCGCAGTTCGAAGTCCAGGTCCCGTCGAAGCTCCGAAAGCTCCGACCAATTCGCCTGTGGTGCATAGTGCCTCGCGCGAATTTCGGTCAGCAGCTTGAACAGGACGCTACCCGCCCGTTCGTCGACCCAGATCAGAGTGCGTCGATGCGCACCGCGCCCCACCGTCCACAGGACCACCAACGCCACGACGACGCCGATTGCCGTCTCCGAGCATGCGGCTGAGGATCAGATGTTGGACGGTCCCGTGCGCACCACCGGCCGCGCCGAGGAGAATCGCGAGGGCGGTGATGAAGATGACGGCTATCCCGTAATTCCGCACCAGGAACAGCTCGATCCCGGCCATCAGGACAGCAAGTACCGCCACCAACCACAGACCGGTCGGACTCCAGGCGTAGATGGCACCCAACAGAATCAACCCGAGGACGGTTCCGCCGATGCGGTGAATTCCGCGATAGGTGCCCAGTATTCGATCCGGTCCTTGATGAAGGACCATCGCCGCGGCGATCACCGCCCAGTCCGGGCGATCGATGCCGAGCAGGACGGTGAGGGTTCCCGCGGCCATGCAGGCAATGGACAGCCGAAGTGCCGTGACCGACGCTCGGCTGGACGGATTGCAGGCGCGGAGGAACCGATATCGGATCGTCGGATCGGGAAGAGGCGGGTGAGCCCCGACCTCGTCGACGTCGAACGCGGGGTCCGCCATGAGCTCCGGATCGTGGTCGTCGGAGATCGCTCTGGCCATCGAGATCTGCGCTCGTTCGAGTTCACGGGTCAACGGGTGGTCTTTCCTACGATTGCGCCGCGGTAAAGGCACTGCCACGCGTCGTGCAGCCGAAGTGCTGCAGCGTGGCGTTTGTCTCGCGTGAGTTCGGGTGGGGCGTACGCCGCCTGAGCGTCCGTGTACTCCGCAACGGCCGATACGGCTGCCTGTACAGCGCTGCGTTCGGCAGCTCTCGGTGCCCACAGGATTCCCGTCATCGAGACGACCACCGCGCTGATCCCACCGATTGCCGTCCACATCGCGACCTCGACCGGCGGCTGGCCGGGAGTGGCGATCACGGAGCTGATCTCGGTGGTGAGCAACAGAAAGAACGCGCCCGGTGGACCCAATCGAAGCGCGTCGACGGTGAAGGCGCAGGTCGACACCACGACGGCCATGATCAGCACGACAAAGACGAGCAGCACCGTCGGCGCTCCCTCGGCGATGGCTCGGTGGACGGGCTCACCCACTGATGCCCCGATGAAGGACAGGATCGTCAGCGCCGTCGCGGCGATACCGACTGCCTTCCACCTGCTCCGGTACGGACGACCCTCACCGTAGATCGATGCAAATGCGCCGAGGCCGACCAGGAGCGAAGCAGACCCGAATCCGAGCAGTGTGGCGATGGCCGCCGGAATCGCCAGGGCGAGGGCGACGCGAACTGCTCCGGGGTACCGGTTTCCCACCGGCGGCAATCCGAACAGGACGCTGCGCGCGCCGGCCGCGGAGCCGGGAGGTTGGACTCGTGACCCGCTGATGTTTCTTCGGGGTCCACTGCCCATCCTTCGCGCCGGCCTGTTCGTGTCTGTGTCCTCCCATTCTTGCGGGCGGCCGACGCGGAATTCGAGGCGGGTCCGGAGGTCGATTCGACCACCCCGTTATTGACACTCTGTCAACAGTGTGGATGATAGGTGGAGTCGGATCCGCTCGCGGGTCGCACTTCATCGATCGGGAGAATCACGATGACGCAAGGATCTACCGCAACCCGAACCACCGAACGCCGGTCCCCGTGGATGGACGACGAATTGGAGGCCGTGCCGACCTGGCAAGGAACTTCTTCGCCAAACACGTCACACCGCATCAGAAACGCTTCGCGTCCCAGGGTTTTCCCGACAAATCCGCATATCGGGAACTCGGGACGCTCGGGCTCGCCGGCATGTCGATCCCCACCCAGTACGGCGGCGGAGGAGGAACGTTTGCGCACGACGCCGTGCTGTTCCACGAGCAGGTCATGGCGGGTGATCATTCACTCCAACTCGGCGTGCACTCGGGAATCGTGCCGCACTACCTCAATGCCTACGCCGATCACGAGCACAAACTGCGCTGGCTACCGAAGCTGGTGAGTGGCGAGTGGGTGGGCGCAATCGCCATGACCGAGCCCGGCACCGGATCCGACTTGCAGAACATCACCACCCGCGCCGTCCGCGACGGTGACGACTATCTGATCAGCGGCGCAAAGACATTCATCTCGAACGGTCGCAATTGTGATCTGGTGATCATTGCCGCCAAGACCGATCCCAGCCTCGGAGCGCGTGGAGTGTCGCTCATCGTGGCCGAGGTCGATGACAACACACCGGGTTTCGAGCGCGGGCGAATACTCGAGAAGGTCGGACAGAAGGGCCAGGACACCACCGAGCTGTTCTTCGACCGCTTGCGGGTGCCTGCAACAAACCTGCTCGGGGACCGCGAAGGCAAAGGGTTTGCCCAGCTGATGCAGCAGCTACTGCCCGAACGATTGATCTGTGGGGTTGCAGCCACTGCGGCAATGGAGCGTGCCGTCGCCCTCACCGTCGAGTACACCAAATCCCGAAACATGTTCGGGCAAACGCTCTTCGATCTGCAGAACACCCGCTTCGAACTTGCCGAGTGTGCGTCCATCGCTCGTATCTCACGAACGTTCATCGACGACTGCATCGTCAAATACCTTGCCGGGCAGCTCGATGCGACTACCGCCGCGATGGCCAAGTACTGGCTCACCGATCAGCAGTGCGCCGTGATCGACCGCTGCGTGCACCACTACACGGCGGGTACGGCTACATACTCGAATATCCCATCGCTCAGATGTACGCCGACGCTCGTATTCAGCGAATCTACGCCGGATCGAACGAAGTCATGAAGGACCTCGTGGCGAGATCACTCTGAGCAATCAGGAATCCGCCTCGCACGCCGGCAGAACGTCACGCACGATGGCGAGCAAACTGCGTACCAGCAGAAGGTGCACCTGTACGCGGTCGAGCGCTCCCGTCACCAACCACTGCTTACTGGCGGCCTTCGCCAATCCTCCGTACGCCACGATCATCGAATGAACAGCAGCCTCGCTGCCTTCACTCGGTCGAATCTCGAGCGCATCCATCATGCGTCGCGCAGCAACGTCGTCAGCGTCCTGCAGGATCCGGTCCATCTCGGGGTCACGGCGGAGGTCGTCGGACATGACTGTCGAGATCCACATGTCGCGATGACGCCAGGCGACGTCGAGCCACCGATCGATCACGGCGCCGATCCGCTTCTCCTGGCTCGCCGATCGCGGAATGCGGTCCACCGCCACTTCGGGAATGAAGACGAATCGCCGCACGACGTCGAGGTACAACTCCCGCTTGGAGCCGAAGTAATGATTGAGCAGCGGACGACCGACCCCGGCCGCCTTGGCCAACTCGGCTCATCGAGACGTCGGCAAAGACTTCTCCTCGAAAACCTTTGCCGCGCTGACAATGATCTGCTCACGCCGGTCTTCAGGACCGAGACGCTTTCCGCCTGTGGCCGACGCGGACGTCATTCTTTTCTCGCGGGCGTGCTGTTGACCGTCGCCTGCGCTTCGACCATGAGCGAAATGTGTTCCACCAATCGCTTTCGAGAGATCTTGGAGGACGGGTGTGCGCCTGATAGATGAACGCGAGGGCACCGAACAGCCCCACCGAATTGAGTTCGGAGTTCGCGGAGTCGGTTGCCTCGCCGCCGTACATCAGCTCGAGCGACGCGGAGATCGGATTGGTGAACTCCGCCATCAATTCTCGCCCTCGATCCCACAGCGCAGGTTCCGCCTGGGATTCGACGAACATGATGCGTCCACGGCGCGGATCGCCTGAATACGTAGGTGGTGAAGGCCTTCACCACGTGACGGATCAGCGCCGACGGTTCGGAAGGTGCCGCCTCAGAGCGTCCAGAATAGTGTCGCGTGCCCCGAGAACGACCTCGTCGAGCACGGCGACCAGCAGTTCGTCACGATTGGCGAAGCTCTCGTAGAAGTACCGTTCGGTCAGCGCAGCCTCGCGGCAGGTCGCACGCATGGTCGCGGCGGCCGCACCCTCGGTGCCCATGATCTGCAATCCGGCTTCGATCAGCTGTGCCGGCGCGCGGCGCGGCGATCTTCTGGTTCCTGCCCACGCCACCTGCGCGGGCCGGTGCGCCGAGCCTCGGTATCCGTCATGTCCCCATGTTCTCACTGACCGGCAGTGCTCTCGACCTCAGGTTATCGCGGCGACCTCGGCAAGCGAACTGACATCGCACGATGTCAATCCAATTCAATTCTGACATCAATCGCTGTTGACATCACTTGATGTCAGACTTACTCTTCGTTCAGTTGTTCACGCACCAATCAGGAGGCGTCACACATGGTCGACATCGACCCAACCTCGGGGCCATCGGCCGGTGACGAGGAAACTCGAACTCGCCGAACACGAGTCGTCGTCATCGGAGCCGGTTTCGGCGGCATCGGAACGGCTGTCCGCTTGAAGCAGTCCGGGATCGACGACTTCGTCGTTCTGGAACGTGCTGCGGAGCCCGGGGGACCTGGCAGGTCAATACCTACCCCGGTGCACAGTGCGACATCCCGTCGATTCTGTACTCGTTCTCGTTTGCGCCTAATCTCGAACTGGACGCGGCTGTATCCGCTACAGCCCGAGATCTACGACTATCTCCGGGATTGCGTCCGTCGCTTCGGACTGGCCGGTCATTTCCACTGCAACCAGGACGTGACAGAAGCTTCGTGGGACGAGCAAGCCCAGATCTGGCGGGTACACACTGCGGAAACCGTCTGGGAGGCACAGTTCCTGGTCGCGGCCACCGGCCCGTTCAGTGCCCCCGCCACACCCGACCTTCCCGGGCTCGAATCGTTTCGTGGTCAGATGTTCCACACCGCGGACTGGAACCACGACCACGACCTTCGCGGTGAGCGGATAGCCGTGGTCGGCACCGGCGCCTCTGCGGTGCAGATCATCCCCAGACTGCAACCGCTCGCGGACACGTTGACCGTGTTCCAGCGGACACCGACGTGGATCCTGCCGCATCCGGATCAGCCGATGACCGGCTGGCCAAGCGCTCTCTTCGAGCGGGTGCCGCTCACCCAACGACTGGCACGCAAGGGACTCGACCTGCTTCAAGAAGCCCTGGTACCCGGATTCGTGTACAAGCCGTCACTTCTCAAAGGGCTGGCCGCACTCGGCCGAGCACACCTTCGCCGGCAGGTGCGGGACCCGGAGCTTCGCGCAAAGCTGCTCCCCACTACGCATTCGGATGCAAGCGTCCGACGTTCTCGAACACCTACTATCCCGCGCTGGCGTCACCCAATGTGGAGGTGGTGACGGACGGAATCGTCGAGGTGCAGGAGCGCGGAGTTCTCACCGCGGACGGCGCCTTCCGGGAAGTCGACACCATAGTCATGGGAACCGGCTTTCGGATGGGAGACAACCCGTCTTTCGACATCATCCGGGGCCAGGACGGCCGCAGCCTCGCGCAGACGTGGAACGGCAGTGCCGAGGCCTTCCTCGGCACCACTATCAGCGGTTTTCCGAACTTCTTCATGATCCTCGGCCCCAATTCCGTGGTCTACACCTCGCAGGTCGTCACGATCGAAGCCCAGGTCGAGTACATCGTGAGCTGCATTCTTCAAATGGACGAGCGCGGCATCCGGCAGCATCGACGTCCGCGCAGACGTGCAACGCGAGTTCGTACGCGCAACAGACCGCCGACTCGCCACCAGCGTGTGGAACGCCGGCGGGTGCAGTAGTTACTACCTTGTCGACGGCGGCCGCAACTACACCTTCTATCCCGGATTCAACCGATCATTCCGCGCCAGGACCAAACGAGCCGACCTCGCTCACTACGCGCAGGTACAACCCGTCTCGTCCGCAGCACTCACCACTGCTCGAGAAACCGTGAGGAGCCGATAATGCCCGGCATCAACGCCTTCCGAGGCACACCCGTCGTCGCACCGTCCGGCGCTCGCCGCTACACCGACGAAGCACATGCGATCGCCGCGCGGGACGTCGAATTCGACTGGGACGGCGTACCACTGCATTACGTGCCGAACAGAACCGATGGTCACCCACGTCATCAACTTCATGCATCTCGTGTTGCCCGAGGGAGAGCGGGCCATGTCCGCAACGCTCGCCGAAGCACTCCCGCTCATCGAGGACACCCGCCTGCACGAAGAGGTGGTGGATTCGTCGGCCAGGAAGCAACACACGCGTCGTCGCACAAAGGTGCACGCGAACATCTTGCGGACCTCGGCATGGACATGAAACCCGATGTCACGCCGGATGGACTGGCTCGTGGACAAGATATTGGGCGACAAAGGATTGACCGGAAAAGCCAAGCACGCCTGGCTCTGTGAACGTCTCGGCTTGTTTGCCGCCATGGAGCACTACACGGCAGTGGTCGGGGAATGGCATGCTCACCGATCCGCCTCGAAGATGCTGGCATGCACCCGATGATGCTCGACATGGTGAAGTGGCACGGCGCCGAGGAAGTCGAACACCGCAACGTAGCCTTCGACGCCTACATGTACGTGGACGGCAGCTACGCCAGACGCGTTCGCACGGCGCTGCTGGCCAGCTTCACGTTGTTCGTGCTGTTCATCGCCTCGATGAACTACCTGTTCCGACAGGACCCGTCCACGACGAAAGGCCGACTGTGGCCTCTCCAACTGATAAGCGCCACCCGTCGTGGCCTGGTACCCAACATGAAATTCCTGATCACCGAGATCCTCCGTATCTGCGGCCGAGCTTCCATCCTTCCCAGATCGGGGACATGGACGTCGCCATGCGTTACCTCGCTCGCTCGCCTGCTGCCAATCGTTCTTCCGAAGCGAGCGCAGGATGAACTAAGACGACTGCCGACAGTTCCCACGACGCACCCGACTTCACACCGACCCGGTCGTTGAGGTTTGCCGCGCAAGCCACCGGCGCATACCGCCGAATCTTTGCAGCAAGTCCAGCAGCGCACATACTTTCGCGCCCCAGCCCGGTCCGCTACAGCGGGTTCGACATGACTCTGGACGTGAAGTCCGTCCGGTCAGAGTGCGACGACGTCCTGAGTGTCACCTTGACCCCGAGGGAAGGAATCACCCTTCCGTCGTGGATTCCCGGCGCCCACCTCGACATCTTTCTCCCCTCGGGAAGGCAACGACAGTATTCGCTGTGCGGCGACCCCGACGACTTGTCCTCGTATCGGATCGCCGTCCGGAGGATCGACGAGGGTGGGGGCGGCTCGCGCGAGATACACGAGTCGCTGAAACCCGGCATGGTTGTGGACGTCCGAGGGCCACGCAACGCATTTCCGTTTGTCGCGGCTCCGTCGTACCTCTTTGTTGCGGGCGGAATCGGGATCACTCCGCCCTTCCCATGGTGCAACGTTGTCACCGCCGCGGAATCCCATGGCGTTTGGATTATCTCGGACGAACTCGGACGGCCATGCCATTTCTCGACGAGATCGAGGAATACTCCAGCGGCCGGGTAACCATCCGACCGGACGACGAGTTGGGCCCGACGGATATCGAAACACTGGTCGCTGCTGCGGATCCCGGTGCCGCGGTGTACACGTGCGGACCGGCGCCGCTGATGAACATGGTGCGCGCGGCGACCTTCGCCGGCAATCCGACCGGATCGGTGCACAGCGAGAGGTTCTCCCCCACTCCCGGTAGTCGACGGCAAGGAGTTCACGGTGCATCTGGCGCGCACCGGTCTCACCGTCGATGTGGGCGAGGTCGAAAGTGCTTTGGCTGCGATACGACGTGCACTTCCCGAGTCGCGTATTCCTGCCAACAGGGCTTCTGCGGTACGTGCAAGGTTCGGGTGCTCTCGGGGAGCGTCGATCATCGAGACACCTTGCTCACCGAATCCGAACGTGCCGATTCGATGTTGACCTGTCGATCACGTTCCACCGGTGCATCTTTGGTGGTGTGGACCTGTGAGGAAAATTCTCTCTTGCGGCAGCCGACGCAGACTTCGTCCGATCCGCGCCGCTGGTGATCACTCACCGGATCGAATCCGAAGCGACGTGCAGCTTGTGGCAGACGTTGACCTCGGACGGAGCGCTCTCGTCGTGGGCGCGCGGGATCACCGGAGCCGACTGGACCTCGGCCAGACCATTCGGCATCGGGACTACCCGAACCGTGCGCGCCGGCGCTTTTGCTGCACTGAACGGAGATTCTTCCGCTGGGACGAGGGCACCGAATGACGTTCTACGTGGAGTCGGCGTCACTGCCGGGGTTCAAACGCTTCGCCGAAGATCTGGTGCTGGAACCGACTTCGACAGGCAGCCACCTCACCTGGACATTCGCCGTACAAGCGCAGCCGTGGTTCGCCCCGATTCTGGCTCTGTCCCGACCGATCCTCGAACGCGTCACTCGCAGCTGGGCCGACGGCGCCGTCCACCACACACTTCAAGGAACTCCACAATGACGGCGACCGAGATCGACACGACCACACAGGCGTCCGACGACACGGTGACACAGGCAGTGCGCGACGCCCGAACTGCTTCCGAGTGGTGGGCAGAACTGACATTCGAGCAACGCGCTCGTCGACTGGATCAGTGGCGTGGAATCATCGCTCGTCGAGCATCCGAACTCGCCGACGTCGTGCACCGGGACATGGGCAAGCCGCACCCTGACGCGATGCTCGAAATCGCCATGGCACTCGAACATCTCGCGTGGGCGTCGAAGAATGCCCGAAAGGTATTGGGCAGGCGCAGCGTCCGCTCCAGTTTGTTGACGGTCAATCAGGCCGCCTCGGTGGAGTATCGACCTCTCGGGGTGATCGGTGTGATCGGTCCGTGGAACTATCCGGTCTTCAGCCCCACTCGGTTCGCTCTCGTTCTCGCTGGCTGCAGGCAACGCCGTGGTCTACAAGCCGAGTGAGTTCGCGCCGGCAGTCGGGCAATGGTTGGTCCGAGCGTTTGCCGAGGTCGTCCCTGAAAATCCTGTGCTGCAAGTTGTCACAGGCGACGGTTCGGTCGGCGCGGCACTGTGCCTGGCCGGTGTCGACAAGATCGGGTTCACCGGATCGACCGCGACGGGCAAGAAAGTCATGGCAGCGCGTGCGCCGGGACCCTCACACCGGTGTTGATGGAAGTGGCGGTAAGGACGCGCTCATCCCCTTGATGCCGACGGAATGTTGGTGCCGCGGATGCTGCGGTGTGGGGCATTGTCCAACTCCGGTCAAAACCTGTCTGGGCGTCGAGCGTGTATACGTGCACGAACAGGTATACGACGAGTTTATCGACAAGACAATCACTTTGGCTGCCCGAGTTCATGTGGGCCCGGGGGCCGAGACAAGATCGGTCCGATCACCATGCCCTCGCAAGTGGCTGTAATCCGGCGCCACATCGACGACGCGGTGTCCTGGGTGGACGTGTCGTTATCGGAGGGTCGGCCCGATCTCCGGCCAGTATGTGCAACCGACCATCATGGTCGACGTCCCCGAAGACAGCCTCGCCGTCACGGAGGAAACTTTCGGCCCGACGATGACGATCACAAGATCGCCTCGATGGACGAGGCGGTGGAGTTGGTCAAGGCGTCGCCATATGCATTGGGAGCAAGCGTGTTCGGCAAGGATGGAGTGGCTGTTGCCGATCGGCTCCGATCCGGAGGAGCGTCGGTGAACTCTTACGTGATGTATGCCGCGGTTCCCAACCTGCCACTGGGTGGGGTCGGAGCATCTGGTTTCGGACGTTCACGGCCCAGATGGTCTGAAGGAGTTCACCTTATGCCCGGTCGATGACCAGGCAGACGATTCCGTTCGCCCCTACCACTGACGACGTTTCGACGGACCGCCCGAATCGACTGGCTGGTCAAGGTTCTCATCCGCGCTCTACACGGCAGCTACTGAAGCAATGACGGGACGCATGTCCGCAATTGCGGGAACAGTCCGCGATCTGGGCATTCCACTGCCCGGACGCCGAATCGACTACGACGTTGCCGGAAAGGTCGTGCTGATCACCGGCGAGGCGACGGTATCAGGTCCCGCGCTGGCGCGCACTCTCCTCCGGCGTGGGGCCACCGTGGCGCTGGTCGACGTCAACGAAAGTTCATTGCAACGGCCGAGCGCTCATTCGAGTCACAGCGAGTCGTGACGGTGACGGCCGATGTCCGAGATCGGGGACGGCATGACAGCAGCCGTGCAAACGATCATCGAGCAGCTGGGCAGAATCGACGTCGTGGTTGCCAACGCCGGAATCACCCCTCCCCCGGCAACATTGCGCCAGATCGATCCCGACGCCTTCGATCGTGCTCGATCATTCACCGGCGTCTTCAACACCGTGCATCCGACCATCGACGAGGTGATCCGCAACAGTGGGCACATCGTCGTCGTGTCATCGGCGGCGTCGTTCGCCCCGGTTTGGGCGGCGCTTCGTACATGATCAGTAAGGCTGGGGTCGAAGCGCTCGGCCGGGCGCTGCGTTCCGCGGTTGCCGGCTACGGCGCCACTGCCGGCATCGCGTACTTCGGGATGGTGGATACACAACTTGCACGCGCCACACTCGACGACGACGAGATCGGGCGCAAACTCGACGCTCGACTTACCCGGTCCCTCGGTCATCGAATCTCCCGGACCGTGCCGCCACGGTGATCGCAGACGCGATCGCGCGCCGCGCCGCGCGGACCCTGCCCCCGCTGCCTGCAGAACCCTGGGCGTGGGGACGCGGATTCATCAATGTCCTGGCCGACGGCTATCTGGCCAGGGACAAACAGGCACGACCTGATCCACGAACTCGAAGACAGAACCACCGCTTGCGGCCCCGACGAATGTATCAGCCCTGACAAAGGCATCCAGGAGATCATCGCGGACCGTTGTGTGCAGCCTTCCAGCGAGTGTCGGCGGTAGCGCCCGACGCGGTGGCCCTGCAGACATCGGCGATGCGCGAACACTGACGTGGCGCGAGTACGCCGAACAGGTCCGCGAGGTTGCCGCGGGATTGGCCGGAATCGGCGTGGGACACGGCGATGCCGGTTGCCTTGATGATGAGTAACCGCATCGAGTTCTATCCGATCGACGTCGGTCCCCAACATCCTCGGCGCGACGTCCCTCCATCTACAACACGTCGGCACCCGAAGCCATCCGTTACATCCTCGCCAATTCCGGTGCACGGGTTCCTCGTCTGCGAGACCGGTACGTGGATACGGTCCGCCGCTCGGGCGCCACACACTCGAGACGATCGTCGTCGTCGACGCGCAATCGCATGTCCACCAGCCCGGCACCGTGACCCTGGAGCAGATGAAGAATTCTGCCGCATCGGATTTCGATTTCGAGGGGCACCTGGCGTGCGGTGGACCGAACGACGTCGCCACGTTGATCTACACCTCGGCACGACCGGCAACCCCAAGGGCGTCGAGACGACTCATGCATGCCTGTTGTTCGAAACCAACGCCGTAAGCGCTGTACTCCCCGTCGAATTCGGTGACGCATCACCTCGTACATGCCGTCGGCGCACATCGCCGATCGGCTCACCTGCCTGTACATGCAAATGGTGTTCGGCACCAGATCACTGTCGTGCCGGATCCGAGCCAGGTAGCGGCCGCGCTTCCGGACTGTCGCCCCACGATCTGGGGCAGCGTCCCCCGTGTGTGGGAAAAGCTAAAAGTTGCAGTCGAATCGGCTGTCGCCAACGAACCGGACGACGCGCGGCGAGCGGCGTTGAGTGGGCACTCGACGTCGGATTGCACTCGTCTCGCACTAACTTGCGAGCCGGTGAAACAGTCCCCGCCGAACTGGAAGCGGACTACGCCCGAGCCGATACGATGGTCCTGTCCGCTCTGCGTGCGAAACTCGGCTTGCCGAACTGAAGTGGGCCATCTCTGGCGCCGCACCGATTCCGCCGGACACGTTGGCATTCTTTGCAGCCCTGGGAGTTCCGATCTCGAGGAGTCTAGGGGAATGTCCGAGCTGACATGCATCGCGAGCCGCGCCGACCGGAGGCCGACCAAGCTCCGGAACGGTCCGGAAAGTTGCTCCCAGGCATGGAAGTACGCATCGGGCGGACGGCGAGGCTACTGGTTCGAGGACCGTTGGTCATGAAGGGTACCCGCGGCGAGCCACAAAAACGGCCGAAGCGATCGGTGCCAGACGGGTGGCTCTCGACCGGAGATGTCGTCACCGCCGACGCGGACGGCTACCTCACGGTGATCGATCGCAGAAGGAGTTGATCATCAACGCGTCGGGAAGAGACATGTCACCGGCGACATCGAGACGGCAGTGAAGACGTCGTCGTCTGTTGATCCGGTGAGTCGTGACGATCGGAGACGGCCGAAAGTTCAACACAGCGTTGATCACACTCACAGCGCCGACGCCGCGGTCGGAGCAGCACGCTCACCACTGGGACTTGCGGCCGGGCCGCGGCACTCGCCAAGGACGCTCGGATCGTCGACATCGTTGCAACTGCTGTCTCGGGAAACTCGCGTCTGTCGAGGAGCCGGGAGCAGATCAAGCGGTTTTCACGTACTCACCATGTTCTGGGGCCAGGCGGCGACGAGCTGACACCGACGATGAAGCTCAGGCGCAAGCCGATAGCCGAGAAGTACGCATCCGAAATTGCAGCCCTCTATGCGGATTCCGGTCGTAGAGGACGTCTACGAGCCTGCGCCCTGCGCATAGATCAGCGTCTCGGTGGCCTTGACCACAAACGTAGCAGCCGATCCCGGAACCAGATCGAGTTCGGCCGCTGCGCTCGCCGTGATGTCGGCAGACAAGCCCAGCTGGCCGGCTTCGTCCCTCCGCTCGCACTCGGACGGCATCGCCTCGGTTTTCGATCTCTCCCGCGATCGTGACCGCAAACGCATTTCGTGGGCTGCCGTGCGGCGAGTCCGGAGGTAGACCGACACTGCTCGCGGCTCGAAGACCGCCACGGCGGCACTGCCGGCCGGTAAGGTCGGTCCTCCGTCTGGCCCGCGATATCCACCCCGACCGGACTTCTGAGCACTCCGTCTCCGGCCATCGTGCCGCTGCGCAAGTTGATCCCGGCGATGCGTGCTGCCGTGCACTACGCGGGCGGGTCAGAACTGTTCGTACGTCACCGCGTTCGACGACCCGGCCACCGTCCGCGCCGAGATTGACGACAACCGTGTCGGCCAGCGCCGTGCGTCAGAGCGTCGTGCGTGACCAGTACGGCTGAGTCCGATCGCCGGTCGGAGCACTCGGCGCAGTACCGACCGCAGCGCGGGGGCGGAGAGCGACATCGAGCGCGGACCCGTTCCGTCGAGCGAAGCAGTTCGGGTTCGAGCAGCCAATGCCCTCCTGACAGCTGCCAGCCCGTTGCCTTGGCCGCCGGAGAGCTGCATGAAGGCCTGCCGGTCAGCCAAATCGCCGGCGTCGACTGCCTCCAGCCAATGGCGCGCGGACTCGGCGGAATCGCGACGCGACCGCCCTGCACTCCGCGGCGCCCGAACGCCACGTTCGCAGCCGCGCCTGAGATGGGGAAGAGAAGTGCCTCTGCTGCGCCCGAGTAGGGCAGTGCCGCGCCGATGGGGTGCCAGACGACTCCCCCTACGGGTATCGGTGAGAACGCGGGAATTGAGTTCGATCAATCCGCGCCGCGGATGATACAGTCCGGCAACCGCCGCCAGTACCCGTCGACTTGCCGGCGCCGTTCGGCCCAGGGATGGCGGTCCACCTCGCCCGCCGCGACGTCGAACGTCGCAACGACGTCGCGCTCCGGAATCTCGATGTCGACGTGGAGGCCACTCACAACGAACCCGCCGATCCGCGTCCACGCACCGCAACCACGATGACCACCGCGACTTCGGACCAACACCAGCGAAGCGCCACCGCTGCATCGGATCGGTCTCGCGCTGGAGATAGATTTCCAGCGGCAGGGTACGCGTCACCCCTTACCTGCAGACTTCCGCTGAAGGTCAGCGTCCACCGAATTCCCCATCACGCGAGCGAAAGCCAGAACTGCCCCTGACACCAGACCGGGAAAGCACCAGCGGCAGGAGTCACCCGGCGAAGCACGGTGGTCGGGCGGGCTCGAGCGTCGAGGCAACGGCCTCGTTATCTTGTACCCGCAGTGCGTAGGTGCGCCTTCGAGACTGACTGACGAGGAACGGTAGCGCAACCGACGTCTGCGCCAGGACCACCGCAGTTGTCGAGAATGCTATCTGGATGCCGAGCACTTCCAGCTGCTCACCGATCAACCGCTTTGCGCCCGAACGTTGTACAGCAACGCGATACCGCCCACCACGGGCGGCAGAACCAGCAGGGCAGACCTCAGCGATCGAAGAACGGACAGTCCCCGAAAATGACTGCGCGCCAATACCGCGGCCGCATCGGTACCCCGAACAGGATGCACAGCAGCGTACTCATTGCCGCTGTCTTCAAACTCAGCGGATTTCAACGCGGCAACCGACGATTCGGAAGTCACGAGTTCCCAAGTATTGCGACCACTGCACGGTGGCCAGCATCGCCGCCAAAGGGCGCGATGACAACCGCTCCGCCGATCAGCGCCCGGAAGGTAAATCCATACCCTGGCAGCCGAGCGGAGCCCGGACTGCCGGTCTTAGGTGTGTCACGGGGCAGCGAATCCCGCGTCACTCAGAACTGCACCAGGCCCTTAGGCCCCTTCACGAGATCGACGAATTTGGTTGCCGTTCCCGAATTCTTCGAGATCCTTCAGCACCGCAATCTGGTACAGGATTGACCCACCGTGGTGGCTTCCGGGAACGCGACCGTCTGCACCTTGTCACCCGCGGACTTCGCGTCGGTGGACGTAAACGATGCCGGCATCGGCCTGCCCGGACGTCACCTTGTTGAGAACGTCCGTCACCGACGATTCCTCACTGACGGGCGAGAGGGTCTCACCTGTAGCCGTCGTCGACCTTCTTCGTAGCCGCGCCGCACAGGACCTGCGGGCGCAGATCACTGGTTGTGTCCCCTCCTTTTCCAGATCTGCGAAGGACACTTTGTGCCCTTCCGGATTGCCAGGCAGTACAGCGATCGTCAAGGTATTGCTCGCGAAATCCGGGGGCGACCCCGCGACGACACCGGCATCCAGTGGCCTTGGTCCATGTTGGCGGCGTCAGCCGGAACGAACTACGTCAGCCAGGTGCGCCCTGGGTGATCTGGGCGACGAGATCCGAGGACCCGGCAAAAGCTGAATCTTGACCGATGAACCGGGGTTCTCCGGACTCGAACTCCTTGCCGAGTTCGGTGAAGCTGTTCTTGGTGACGCCGCCGCGAAGACGGTGATGCTTCCCGTGGCACTGTCACTGGAAGTGGTCGTGGTCGGAGCGGCCGACATTCCCGTCTCCGACGACAGATTGTCGGAGGAACTACAATGATCACCAGGGCAAGCGAGGCACCTGCTGCAACAAGTCCGAACTACACGCTTCCGTTTCCTCAGTATCGTTCAGAACTACGGCGTTTCCACGATGACCGTGATTGGCCTTCACGATTGCGACTCCGATACTCCCGACCGTCGAGTCCGAGCTCCCGAACCGCGTCGGTACTCATCAGCGAGACGACAGTGAAGGCCCACACTGCTATTTTCGACCTGGGCCATCACCTTGTCGGTAGACGACCTTAGTGACGGGCCGGCGAACCGGTTGCGAGGCCAGAACTCACGCCCGTGAGCAGATCGGCCGGTCGCCGGTCCGGCGTTGGACCAGGCAGAAGCCCGCCAACTCAGCACCGTCGATGACCTTGCGGCCCGGAGTCGTCCGTCGTCGCGGTGAAGCCCACCGTCCGACCCACCGTCGAACGGTGTCGTCACTGACACCGAGCAGACCGGCAGCTTCGCGGATTCGAATGTTGGGCACCGGGTGATCGTAGGTTCGCAAGTGCGGACCTAACAAGCCGAAATACTCCGCAGATGCGTGAACTAGTCAATCATGATCAGCGTATCTGCGGAGCATTGTCGATAGTTGCCGTGGACGAGTCAGCGCATCATTCTTCGGCCCAGGGCACGCGGCAGGGAGTCGGTGCTGAACCCTTGCTCGGTGATCCCCAACGCCGAATACATCCGGGCGCGCATGTTTTCGAGCCCGATCTGATAGGTCAGTTCCACGACGCCCGCTCGCCCGAACCTGCGCTTTCGAGATCCGCGACCTGCTCGTCCGTCACCCCGTTCTCCCCGTGCGGGTCACCGGTCATGGCATCGGCGTAGGCGATCGCGGCCCGCTCGTCCTCGCTGTACTTCGGTGAATCCGGTAATTCGCGATCCCTTTCAGCTTGTCGATGTCAAACCGTCCAGGCGCGAGCATCGTCCGAAGTCGACACACCCGAGCAGCCGACAGTCCAGGCGACGCGATAGACGGCCAGTTCACGAATGTTCGACGGCAGCACCTTCGACGCCTTCTGCACGGCCATCTCGTGACGGGCAGCCGCGACAGACAATTTCCGATGGTTGGCCAGGACGGCAAAGGGCTCAGGGACTTCGATCGTACTGCCTGGCGGCGAATTGTATGCCACTTTGATCAACGGACTGGCTTCTGACGGTGTCACTGCGGGAACGCGAGTCATGGCAAGCCTCCGTATGTTCTGGGAGCACGGATTCGATGCTCTCTACAGAGTTGGACGATGGCGGCGATTCAAACGTGACCAAGCACCGCGTTCGAGCGAGGATGTGAGGATGCGGTGTCAGCCGACTAAGCTGCAAGATGCCTTCGACGCCCGCAACCGCACCGTCTCGCGTCTGCAGCCGTTCGCATCCACGATCTTCGCCGAGATGACAGCGTTGGCCACACTTCACGACGCGGTCAACCTCGGTCAGGGCTTTCCGGATACCGACGGTCCTGCGGCCATGCTCGAAGTAGCGCGTCGAGGCCATCGCCGAAGGCGTCAATCATTACCCGCCCGGTCCGGGCATGCCCGTCTTGCGCCAAGCCATCGCGGAGGATCGGCGCATCCGCTACGGACTCGACAGTGATCCGACTCCGAAGTTCTGGTCCGTCGGCGCCACCGGGCGATCAGTGCTGCAATTCTCGGACTGGTCGAACCCGGCGAGAAGTAGTGCTGATCGAGCCGTACTACGACTCCTACGCTGCATCCGTCGCGTTGGCAGGCGCTGTGCGTCGGACTGTTCCGCTGGTCGCCGCCGGGAGACGGATTCTCGGTCGATCTCGATGCATTGCGCGGCGCGATCACCGCCAAGACGAGATGCTGATCGTCAACAGTCCTCCCAACCCCACCGGCACCGTATTCACCGATCATGAACTGAGCGATCGCCGAACTCGCGTGCGAACGCGACCTGATCGTGTTGGTGACGAGGTCTACGAACACTTGGTCTTCGACGGCCTCACCCACACACCGATGGCGTCGCTCCCGGGCATGCGTGAGCGCACCGTCACTGTGTCAGTGCGCAGGACTTTCAATGTCACCGGCTGGAAGACCGGCTGGGCGATCGGCCCCCGAGAACTCATCGACGAGGTCCGTGCCGCCAAGCAGTTCATGTCATTTTGTTGCCGGTGCACCATTCCAACCGGCCGTTGCCTACGCGCTGACCAACGAACAGCCGTGGGTCGTCGAACTTCGACAGAGCTTGCAGGGCCAAACGGAACGTACTCGGAAAAGCTCTGACCGGGCCGGTTTCACGGTGCATTCCGGCGGCGGCACGTACTTTCTCCTTGCCGACATCAGACCGTTGGGTGAAACCGATGCGGGAGATTTCTCGTCGCGCCCTACCCGAGCGTATCGGCGTCGCGGCCGTACCGGTCGACGTGTTCGCGGACAACCGCGACGATTGGAAGCACCTGGTGCGCTTCGCCTTCTGCAAGCAGGACCACATTCTTTCCGAAGCTGCACGCCGTCTCCACCTGCTCCAGGAGCAGCGCACCCATGACAGCGCGGACCATCCCGACCGCATTCGTCCACCGCTACCTCGCGTTCTCGCCGGACAACGACGTCGGTTTGTCTGGTGCACTGCGAGCTGCTGGATCGACCTGGAGACATTGTCGGACGCTCGCGCACGGCTGACCCCAACTCAGGTCACCACCTTCATCCAAACCACGTGGCAGATCAACGACGACGAATTGTTCGGCCTCGGATCCGCCCGGTCCCCCGTGGCACTTTCCGATTGATCTGCCTGACGTTGATCCATTGCCCTGACCTCGGATCAGCGTTCGCTCGAATGTCCGACGTGATCCATGCGCTACCGGCTCTGGCCCCACTGGCGATCGAAAGGGCGAGGAAAGCACGCGGGTGAGCTTCGCAGTCCGAGCTCGCGAAGGCGTCGCCGAACCTGATGTCGCAGAACGTGTCACAACCGATTTTGTCCTGATCTTGCTGCACCGATTTTCCGCGTGGTTGATCAGAGCGCGTCCGACTTTCGGGCAGTCGAATTTCCGTACTCGGCACCGGATGCGCGGTTGGCGCAGGACTACGACTACATCTTCGGAGCGCCGGTCACCTTCGGCGCGCAGCGAGCGGCACTGGAGTTCGACAACTCGGCCATGCGCGCACCGATCATCCAAACCGAGGAGACGTTGGAGGAGTACCTCCGAGAATCTCCGATTCAGCTCATGTCCGAACGCGATTACGACAGCACTGCGTCGGCGCAGGTGCGACGGGTCCTCGAACTCGGAGTGAAGGGGCGAACCTCCACGGCCGAGGAGATCGCCGAGATGCTCTCGATCAGCGTTCCCCATCTGCGTCGACTGCTGCGGCGTGACGGAACATCACTGAATCAACTACGCGAGGAAGTGCTCCGCGACGTAGCCATCGCTGGTTTGCGGCGCGGAGAATCCGTCGAAGTACTCTCGGCGCGATTGGGGTTCTCCGAGCCCAGCGCGTTCCGTCGGGCCTTCAAACGATGGACCGGCGACACTCCGAGTTCGTACCGCTAGCTGACGCAGAACTCGTTTCCTTCGGGATCGGTCATCGTGATCCACACGCTCGGCCCCTGCGCTCCCCGGTGCAGGATCGTCGCCCCCACCGTCTCGAGGTGCGCTGCGACATCCTCGCGCTTGTCGCCCACTCGTATGTCGAAATGGAGCCGGTTCTTCACCGTCTTCGATTCCGGAACCAGTTGGAACAGAACGCGGGGACGTTCGGGATGCTCCGGATCGCTGATGGCCGCACCTTCGCGCCAGACGAGAACTCCCTCGAAGGTCGTGGTGTCAGATTCCTTGGCGTGACCAGCAGCGACGAGGCCCCTGATGAAGTCTTCGTCGCTGGGCTCCGCTGCCCACCCGAGTGCTGCGGCCCACCACTTCGCCTGTTCGTGCGGGTGTGCCGAATCTACTGTGACTTAGAAATTCGTATCCCATGTTCCGACGTTAACGCCGACCACCGACACCTAGTGAAGGTTCAGCCGAGCCGGGCATCAGTCGACACTCTTGATGGTCTTCATGGTGATCAGCGATGTCACCCGCGAGACAGCCGGAAGCCCGCTGAGCTTGGTGACCATGAAGTTCTCGTACGTCGCGAGATCTTTCACCGCGACCCGAATGAAGTAGTCGGGAATTCCGAACAACCGCCGACATTCGATCACTTCGTCGAAGGCGGCGACCTGGATTCGAAGTCCTCGATGGTCGCCTGGTCGTTGACTCCGATCTCGGCGGTGACGATCACTCGAAATCCTCGGCCAAGCGCTTCCTGACTGACGATCGCGCGGTACCCGGTGATGATTCCGTCGGCTTCGAGCTTTTTCACGCGGCGCAGGCAAGGGGACGGTGTCAGACCCACCAGATCCGCCAATTCCGTGTTCGTCAGACTCGAGTCCTGACGGAGGTGAAACAAAATTGCGTCATCCATGGCATCCATCGCACTATTATTGCGCACTGTTCAATATGTGGGCATTCTGAGCAATCGATCACCTCGATCTTTGTTATAGATTTGCGTCGTGATCGAACCAGCTTCGTCGACGGCCGCGCCTGCCGTCGAACTCTCGCCGCGAACCCCGGCGTGGCGGCACGCTATCCAACTGTCGCTGCCGGTCGGATTCGGCCTGCTCCCACTCCGGGATAGCCCTGGGCGTTCTTGTGGTCCAACAGGGCCTCAACCCGCGGTGGGCAGTCGCTTTCACCTCGCTGATCTACGCCGGATCGCTGGAGTTTCTCGCCGTCGGAATGGTCGCGGCCATGACACCACTGCCGTACGTCGCTCTGACCGCACTGCTGGTCAACTTTCGACATGTGTTCTACGCCTTGAGTTTTCCGCTGGAAAAGATTCGCAACCCCTTCGCCCGCTTCTACAGCATGTTCGCGCTGACCGACGAGGGCCTATGCGATGTCGGTAACTGCCGATCCCAAGGCACTCACCGGACGCGTCATCGTCTACTCCCAGCTGTACCTCCACGGCTACTGGATCGGTGGCGCGATCCTGGGCGCGACGGCAGGACAGTGGATTCGGACTCGATAGTCGGTCTCGACTTCGCTCTGACCGCACTGTTCGTCGTCCTCTCGATCGAGGCAATTCGCGCACAAAACGGATTCGCGGTGCCGGTCGCTGCGGTCACCTGCGCTCTGGTCGCCCGGCTCGCAGCCCCGGATCACATGCTGCCAATTGCAATGGGCGCCTTCGTGCTCTTCCTGATCGGCCGCTTTGTCTACGACTCACGAAGGCGAAGATCGATGCCTGACACCTCGTACATCTTTGCGGCGGTCGCAGTCATGGCCGTGGTCACCTTCGCGCTGCGCGCAATCCCCTTCGCCGCGCTCATGCCGCTGCGCTCCTCCGCCCTGGTCGGCTACCTCGGCATCTACATGCCGGCCGGCGTCATGCTGATCCTCGTGATGTATTCACTCAAAGGGGTGTCGATCACCGCCCCGTCTCACGGCCTCCCGAACTGATTGCAGTGTGTGCCACAATCCGCCGCGCACCTGTGGCGAAAGAATGCCGTCCTGAGCATCGTTGTCGGAACGACGATCTACGTTGCGCTGGTCAATACCGTGTTTGCCTGAGCAATTCCCATCCGGGAGCAAAGCAGCTTTACTCCCGTATGGGTGATTCTGTAACCTCAGGCGCTTATCTGAACAGTTGAACACTTATATACGATTTCAGTAGGGTGGCCGCCGGCCGCGACTGAAAGATCGGTGAGGTTCGATGTCCACGACAATGACCACGACGGGCACCCGAATCGCCGGCGCTTGGCACAGTCTGGATCGAGGCCAGCGTCGAAGCATCATCGGAATGACCGTCACCGTCGTTGCACTCAACGTCGTCGGGTGGGCAGTTCTTCTCGGTCTGGTTGTCCCCGGCCACTACACGATCGAAGGCAGTGTCTTCGGCATCGGACTCGGTGTCACGGCGTACACGCTCGGCGTACGCCATGCTTTCGACGCCGATCACATCGCCGCCATCGACAACACCACTCGGAAGTTGGTGGCGGACGGCAGAAACCGATGTCCGTCGGTTTCTGGTTTTCACTCGGACACTCCACCATCGTCTTTGTTCTCGTCGCACTTCTGGCGTTGGGTGTGCGGCAACTTGCCCGCCAGCCTTTCCGACGACAACTCCGATCTGGAAAAGTGGACCCGGCTTGTTCGGCACAACCATTTCCGGAACATTCCTGATCTTGATCGGCCTCCTGAATCTTTTCTCTCTCATCCCGGGATTCATCGGGTGTACACGAAGTACAAGGCCGGAACCTTCGACGAGGAACAACTTTCGAGAAGAACTCGACAGCCGCGGCGCCCTCAACAAAGATCCTGGGCCCGGTGATGAAGATGGTTCGCAAGCCCGGGCACATGTACCAGTCGGTCTGCTGTTCGGACTGGGATTCGACACCGTCACCGAAGTGGGACTGTTGGTGATCGCCGGCGGCGCTGCGGCGACAGGGCTCCCGTGGTATTCGATCCTCGTTCTACCGATACTCTTCTGCGCCGGGATGTCTCTGTTCGACTCGATCGACGGATCGTTCATGAACTTCGCTTACGGTTGGGCATTTGCCCATCCAGTACGAAAGATCTACTACAACATGGTGATTACCGGACTCTCGGTGGCAGTGGCACTGCTGATCGGGACCCAGAAATCATCTCGATCTTCACCGACAAACTCGACATCCACGACGGGATTCTCGGCGCCATCAGGAACTTGGATCTCGGCGCGATGGGCTTCATCATCGTCGGACTCTTCGTCGTCACATGGATGATCGCCCTCCTCTGGTAATGGCAGGCACAGCCGCATCGGAAGAGCGGTTGCAAGCGCAGTCCGGTGCAGCAGTAGCACGACGAGCGACAGCAGACGAAGCGATGTGAGTTCGACTCGGTCACGCGAATCATGGGCCACCCGAAAGCGAATAGCTGATGTACGTCTCGCCCCATTTCAGGTACGCGCTCGACGTCGCCTGGCCGCGGATCTGGTCGTTCTGCCACTGGTAGACAGCGCGCCACGGAATACGGAACTCACTTGTTCCAAGGCGTACTGCTCCCGGTGGCCTTGCGCGTATCGCTGTTCGAGTCTTCCCGAGTGCGCGGCGGGAAATTACTGATCCAGATAGGTCGGCCGAGAGACTCGATGCGTCCTGGCGGCGCAAGGACATCAGCGCTGCGATAAGTGAAGGCCGCATACAGGTAGGCCGCCACCACAATCGTTGCCAGCTACCGCGCCGATCTTGAATGCACGTCGAGCAGGGTCGGCATGGCTCACAGTACAACGACTGCGTCCCGATCTGATGCGGGTCGGCGGCAGCCGCCTCTCCGATTTCCTCGAGCCCAGACCACCTTCCGACTAGTACGGTGAGATCACCGGCAACCGATCCTACGGCAACGATGGCGGACTCGCTCGACAACCCAGCGCCCTCTGCCACAGGTGAGGGCACATCGCCAGCCAATCATTGCGGGCACCACGCACCAGTGCGGTCCATACGGGGGTCCCCCATGGGAAATCGAGTTTCCCGTCGCACAGCCTCCACGACCGAAGCCTTCCGCCCTGCGTCTGGTCTCTATGAGCCGACGCGCTGCGAGAAACTCGACGAGCCGGTTCGAGAATCCCATTCGTTTGTCGTACCAGGCGAAAACCTTCACTTGTTCGCCGACGACCTGTGTGAGGGCGCATCGAAGATTGCCGAGTGGGGATTGCCGACTATGTCGGCAGAGACAAGATGGCGCCTCCGAATAGGCAAGGTAAGACGAGAGTTCGGGAGTCTGCGATGCGACGCAGAAACGCTTCGTTGATCTCCACGACAGTCGCCAGTCGTGAGAGATGGGCAGTGAGGTCGGTGTCTAGAACCGACTGGCACGGGGACGCGCAGCAGAGTCCAGTCAATTTTCCGTTCAACTCTGGGATGATCCGCCCGATGGTGGCGGCGGCGCCGGAGAAGTCGGGATCGTAGACAATGCCGCGGCGCGGTGCGCGCCGGAGATCGCTGTGAGGAGCATCGTGGAGGCGCTGGTCGCTGTGTAGGCGTGGATCGTCGTCATCAGTCCGGACTCGATGCCGAACGCCTCGTGCAGCACCTTAACCATCGGTGCGAGGCAGTTGGTCGTGCAGGATCCGTTCGAGAATACCGTCCTCCGACATGTCGAGGACGTCGTCGTTTACTCCGAGTACAACTGCAGAACATCACTGTCGGCGGGAGCCGAAATGATCACCTTTCGCGCTCCCGCTGTCAGGTGTTGGCGAGCGTTGACCGGAGATCGTGAATCAGCCGGTCGACTCTATGACGACATCGACGCGTTCGGCTCTCCAGGGGATGAGGGACGGCTCGCGCTCAGAGGTAACGCGAATGCGCTTTCCTGCAACGAGAATCGCGTCCCCGTCGACCTCGACGCCGTCAGATGACCGGACACAGAGTCCCTCCAGGAACGAAGCGAGGGTTGCGGCGTCGGCGATGTCGTTGATCGCGACGATCTCGACATCCGCATCGCCGCGTAGCGCAGCCGCAGGTAGCTGCGACCGTGCGGCCGAAGCCGTTGATTCCGGTACGAACGGACGTTGATTTCTCTTTCGAGGTTGGTCGGTGATCGGTGCGCAGAGCGGACTGGGCGGCGTCGAGCAGGAAATGGCTCCACGAACCGCCGCGTCCATCGGGCCCTGTTCACCCTGCGCGCGGGCAAGTACATAGCCGCCTGCAGGACGGCTGCCAGCGTTCGCCCGAGATCCGCCGGGACGATGCTCGTCGGAAGTTCTCCTGCAGCAATCGCGGCAGTGATCGCCCGCTCCCAATGGTTCAGCATGGTGTCGAAGGCGTTCGCAACGACTGCGATCAGTTCTGCATCCGTGACCACTTCCGGGTCCTGGGTCATCCGACCCACCCGGCACCCCAGTGCCCGGCCGCGGCAATGAGAGGTAGCGCTTCATCTGTTCCAGGGCGAGCCTTCTCCACCCAACGGAGATGACTCGCCCTTCATTTTCCCGGGTAACTGCAGACAGCGCCTGTACCGCGAGTTCGTGCTTTCCACTGAAATGGTGATACATGCTGCCCTGGCCAGCCCCGGCACGTGTCATCACGTCGCGTGGGCTCGTCGCTGCATAGCCGCGCTCCACAACAGCTCTGCCATCGCACCCGTCAGCTGGTCCCCTGAGTTCGCAATCGGCTGTAACAACTAGTATGTACAACCTCAACGTAGGTTCGACCAACAGGCCGGCCGGGCGATTGTGCGGTGATCGACCAGAGCATCGTTGCCGTTCTGGACGTGGCATCTGCAGACTCCTGAAATGAAGCACGTCGGGCGCGAGGCAGCGGCACTGCTCAACGGGCCGGGATCGAACTCAGCGAGGGCCTGACCGACGCAGGGTTCGATTCCGTCCACGAACTCTTTGGATTTCACTTCACCCCAGACCACCGCAGCCTTCTTGCCCGCCCCGTTACCGCTTGGCGACCGTTGGCCGAACTGGCGTAGCGCCGACGACCTCGAGGTTGGTGCCCGGCTAGATACAGTCACCGAAGGTTTCATTTGGGATGCACTGCATCAGCAACCACCGTTCTGGCCGGCATCGTGGGGCAGAATGCCCGCCTCACCCGAGGACGTCACCACAATCGTGCGTCAGCAGATCGGAGCGTGGCCGCGCCTTGTCCCGATCTTCGCTCACCGCTTCACGCCCGCCGCACCCTCCCCTCGGGATCGCCGGTGATCTCCGTGTGGCAGACCGACATCGTCTACTGGGCCAAACCTCCTCGAATATCTCGCCAATGGAGTTCCCCCTCGGACAGGGCCGAAGAACACTCTCTCCCATTAGCGTCCGCGTACCGTTATGGTCCCGATTCATCGAGGGCGGCCAACCGCGCGGAATCGATCTGACCGGCCCTGAGGTCCTGTTCTGCCTGCCAATAGTTTCGCAGACGAATTTCGCGGGTATTGATCACTTGCGGCGGCGATTTCCAGAGCGAGGGTCAGCCGCGCCAGATCTGCCCCGGCTGTCACTCGCCGGGTGGCGGGCCGCCAAAACCAGCGAGCCGCCGAAAACAATCTGTGCCAGGCGATGATTTCGATGCAAACGACACGACTCGACACCATCCGGATTCTGATCGTCAGGACGGCAATCCGGACTGAGCGTCTGGCTGGCCACGCAGGAGACCATTCGCGTCGATCGGACTCGGAATCGCAACAGTGGTGATCTGCTGGATCTCTTGCTCGATGATCCACGGCTTCCCACCGATCGACGAAGGACATGCGTCCGCGCGAGACCAGGATCGCGAGTCACGCGAAACGGCGCTGACGCCGCGTAGGGATGAGGCCAACCGTGGAGCCCGGACACAGCGAAGTGGTGGATCACCTGTCACGGTGACCACTCGCATCGATCGAGAGATCACACCTCGTCAGGTCGCCAGGTCGCGACGGCCCAGATCCGGCGACGTCGAGGGCGATGATCTGATCGACCACAGCGGGTAGTACGGCATCCACAGGAAATTCGCCACGATCGAGAGCGCCGCGATCACGAGCCATGCCGCGGGCCCACGTCATGCCGACGAACAATCCCAGCGACACCGCGATGCCGATGATTCCGAGCACGATGTGGATCCAACCCCATGTCGTGACATCGAATTCGAAGGTGTAAGTTGACTCCGACGATCAGCAGGTCGTTGTCTGCGAAGCCGCGATGCCCTGGAGCAACGCGACGATTCCCGCGACGAAGAGCAGGCAGGCTGCCGCCACCAAGTGGTCCCGATGGCAAAGCCTTGTCGGACAGGATGGTTCGCATGAGATTGGTGCGGAGCAGTCATGACGTCCCTTCTTCGGCGAAATAGCGTGAGACAGTATTCAAGGTTCCGACGCCGACGGACATCACCCAGCAAGGATGAACAGCCGTCAGCACTGCAATCAAGATTCATGGGAACATATGTTCGATTTCGGTGTACGGTGGGCTTATGACCGCCACGATGCAACCGTCTCTGTTCGACAACGGTGACCTCGGCGTTTCCTGGCCGATCTCGACGGCACGGTGGAGCGACGTATTCTCACCGCCGGCGCATGGGTCGACCATCGCCCGGCCTGGCTGACGGATCAGAGGCCGTGTTCGACAATCTGGAGGCTACGGTGCCGTGGCGTTCCGAACGGCGTCAGATGTACGACCGCGTTGTCGACGTCCCTCGTCTGGTGTGTTTCTACGCAGAGAATCAACCACTGCCGGACGCGCTTCTCACCGAAGCCAAAGACGCGCTGAGCAGTCACTGCCGACGAACTCCGGTGAACCATTCGCCACGTCGGGTCTGTGTTTCTATCGCGACGGTTCCGACAGCGTTGCCTGGCACGGGGACGACACGGGACGAAGTCGCACCGAGGACACGATGGTGGCCATCCTGTCTCTCGGTGCGGCTCGCCCGCTCCTATTGCGCCCTCGTGGGGGCGGCGAATCCATCCTTCAATCTCGGACACGGAGATCTACTCGTCATGGGCGGATCCTGCCAACGCACGTGGGAACACTGTGTCCCGAAGAGTGGCGGGCCCTCAGGCCGAGAATCAGCGTTCAATTCCGCACTCGCGGAGTTAGATAGCGTCGCGGGTTCGTCTCGCAGCGCCTTCCCATTGAGCTTGCCGACGGCCGTCTTCGGTATGGATTCTGCGGAAAACAACCCGACGAGGCTTCTTGTACGACGCCAGTCGCTCGCCGACGTGCGCGACCAATGATGCTTACAGTGCGTCGTTTTCGACGGTCCCGTCCTCAGTACCACCACAGCCGTGACCGCCTCCACCCACTTGGCGTCGGCGGTACCCACCACGGCGACCTCACGAACGAGACTGGATGCGTCAGGAGTGCATCCTCGACTTCACGGGGGTAGACGTTGTATCCGCCGCTGATGATCATGTCCAGCTCGGTCCTTCGGAGAACAAGAATCCTTCGGCGTCAGAACTGACCGATGTCACAGGTGTGAACCCAGCCGTCTTCGGTGAAGGTGTCCGCATTCAGGATTCCGGTGCGCTGAAGTATCCGGCGTCGCCGATGGCGAGCGGGTCACGATTTCACCAGTTCTCCCTGGGGCGCTTGTTTCCCTCGCCGTCGAGCAGCCTGATCTCGACGTCGATGGCAGGCTGACCACAGGACAACAGGCGTCTTCCGTGTGATCTTCGGGCCGTAGGGACTGCGATACACAGCAGTGCCTCGAGTCTCCCCGTAGTACTGGAGAAAACGGTGTTGCCCCCACGCCCTGCTTGTACGTTCCGATGGTGACCAGCGGCATCGACGACGCACCGTAGATCACGGATTCCAGACTCAGAGATGTCTGCGGTCGCAGAATCAGGGCGTTCGAGTAGCATCTGAGTCATCGTCGGCACCAAGATTGATTGCCGTAGCCCGATGCTCGGTTATCGAAGAGTCAAGAGAAGGTTCGACGGGTCCGAATCCGGGAAGGATGACGGTCTTGCCGCCACGCAGCCAGAACGGAAGCACGAGAACACCCGCTGGCATGAATCAGTGATGCCGCGTGCGATCGTATCGTCCAGGTCGCCGGAAACGGGTGAGCAGAACGCATTGCGGCAGATGCCGGCGTGGCTGCACTGAGTGGCGCTGCGGCGGCTAATGTTCCCGTGGTCGGGGTGAACAGCGTAAGGATCACATCGTCCAGGGCTAACTCGACGTCCGGCGTGTAATCGAAGGCATGCTCTGTGCTTGGTCGAGCAGCGAACGCCGCCGCGCCGAACCTGTTCCAGCCCGATGAACGTACGTTCGGGAACCTGGCGGACAGTTCAGCGGCGCGGTCGGCAGGTCACTACCGAAGACGACGTGCGGGTGTCGGTGTCCTCGAGCATTCTCGCGTGCTCGTCGAGCGAGAGACGCCAGGTTGAGCGGAACCCTGTTGATACCGGCGGCCGCAGGCAAAATCGACTGAGACATGGCAAGAGACGTGACCAGCAATGCAACCCGTGCACCGCCCGATACGAGGCGATGAATGTGTGCGCCAATCGGCTGCTGAGTTCGTCCACTTCCGTGAACGTCATCGATCGATCGCGAAAACGACGGCTGTTCGCGATCGTGCTGTCGCGCACCACGGGCGTCAGGTCTCTGGTATGGGCATCATGGTTCCAGTTTCCTCGTTCAATTCAGGATTGTTCTCGAACCGGCCACGATGCCAGCCGGCGCCCGCGGCGAACGCAGCAGCGCCGCGCACACCTTCAGCGATGACAATGGGATTTCCCGCGACGCCCTCGGCCCGCAGTACGCTTCGGCAAGTGAGTAGATCAAAAGATCGGTAGGCCGGCGCGCGATCCGCGAGCATGCAGAGTTGAGGAAAGCGGACCTTAGCTGGTGCGCAAGCTCCTTGGCTGCCTGGGTGACTGCCCCACTGGAACAACACGATTGGCCAGTCGAGGCCAGCGCCTCGGGCGTCGGCGGGCGACCAGTCAAGATCGTAATCGAGCGCTCGCCCCTTCCCGACGATTCACGGCGGTGCGTCCACCATCGATGAGAGGAACTCCCCAGCGCCAAGCAGAAGACTCCGAACACGGAATCCTCCTCGCCAGATCCTCAGGTCGCGAGAGCAATGAAAGCTTCGAGAGCCCTCCTGCAACCGCGTAATCCGCTGACGGCGGCGATCAACGGTTTGGACAGCACCAGCCGACTCCGGCCCCATCGGGCCAGTGCCGCCGCCTTCCGGATGCAACTCGTGCACGCCCCGAGGCGGGAGTCGGAGACTGCGGTCAAATCCGCACCGGCACAAAATGTGCCGCCGCTACGGAATCGCCACCTTCTGACTCTCGTCCGATTCGAACTCCAGGAAGGCATCACACAACTGCGCGCCATCGGCCCGTCCACCCGCATTCTTGCGATCAGGGCGATTCATCACGATGACCCGGTGACGCCACCGTCACGCTCCACATAGACATCGCCACCTGGTCGATCGGAGTCAGTCACATTCCTCACTGCTCTGGATAAAAAGGTTTCCGGTACCACCATGCCACTTGTAACAGAATTTGTCAGGAGTGTTCAAAGTTATTTCCAAAGCGAGTCGAGGAATGTCCGCAGCCCAGTTGTGCTGGACCTCGCAACAGCGAGTCGGACGCCGAAGTTCAGCACTGCAGTGCTGACCCGGGCTCCGGCAGAGATCGTCGGTGTCAGCGCATCGAGGCGTTCGCGTGGCAACGGCCCGCCTGTGCCGCGAGAACAAACTGCGTCGCACCGCTCAGTGGAACGTACGTCCCTCAACCCGGACGGCATCCCCACCTACAGCGAGGTCGAGGGGTGAACTCGTACCGATCGCATACGCCCCTGGGACGGCACGTGGATAGCCGTCGAGCACTCAGCGCTCAAACGAAGCGACCGCACTGCCGCCCGAAGACACGATCAGGCGCTGCGCCTGGCGGGCTACGAGGAGTGGAAGCCCACACTCGCCGTCCGCCCGAACAATCTGCTCGGCGGCACGGACAGCGCCCGCCGCACTCTCCGCCGACTCGGCGCGCCCCCCGAATCGGCCGTCATGGAAATCGCTCACCTTGCCCCCGAGGATGATTCGACAATCCGCACACTCTGGAACTCGGAAGCACTGTTGGTCGACATCGCCGAGGCCCGTGAAGCACTCACACAGGCGCAACACGCCTGGCGACAATCAGTCGCGAGGAGGCTGCCCGTGAATCACTTGCCTTGGGCAGCGCGGTGATCGCGGTCATCGTGC